ACATTAGCTGATCAACTGGTGCAGCGAGTGCCCCTCATTAGTGCTCCCTCTCTCGCCTGTTTGACCCATTGCAACTGCCAAATCCATCGCATATGAGATGGGAATTTTTTCCACTGTGGAGATTTCCAAATGGCACCCCATTGTGTAGTGACGGTCCAGTCTAATCTTAGTCGGGAAAGTTCGTGGACCTCTCGCAAGAGACCACGGTGGTTTCCTTCCCCAGTAAGAGCGTCTGACTTCTGAGAAGAGCCTTCCCCATGAACAAAGTCAGGAAAGATCGAATAGTGCCGTAACTGCCGAGGTTCGCTATCAAACTCCCCTTTTGGTGCAGAACATTTGGCCTAGCTCAGTGGGACCACCTGACGTAAGATGGTCATTTCAGAGCCTGTGAGATGGAAGATCTCATAAAAACTGCATCGCTAAACTAGCCAGTTGTGAAGAAAAGCCTTTTCCACAATTTCACACTAACAGTCCGCCCCTTAGCAATCATGGCACATCATTAGTTGGAGATATTGGTCGAGTCCTACGACCCGCTTAGTACGACTCCCCCCTACTGAAGGGCATATAGTACATATGAAACATGGAAAAACCACGAATAGTCAACAACCAGAAGGCAAAAACGACCCCTCTCCCAACAACGACCAAAGACGACCCCCTCCCCCTTGTTCGGATTCCCCAACAATGAGGAGCCTTAATTTCCGCACACCCTTCGGAAGAAATACAACACGAAAAATTTTCGTAGCACGTTCACAGCTGATTACTCTAGGGACTGGTAGTTTAAAGACGATTGCCAAATCTGTGGAATCTGTCCAAAACAGATCTGCGAGAGGGGTGGGGAGCGAAAAAAAAAATCAAGAGGCTCCTGCTAAGCAGTGGTTCCGCCATAATCATGAGTAACATGGAAGTGGGCACTTTGAACATCCACAGCGGACAGTGGTCTCGATCCTCGGAAATGATATGTATCTTTTGGAATGCCACATTAATGCCTGGGATCCCAGAGCGCCTGGAGATCAACATGAAATCCGGGATTTAGCCATGAAGGATAAATTGTGAATCGTGGCGAAGTTGTACGCTGTCAAAGCGCGGGTGTCTACCAGAATTAAGGCGATGGTTTCCAGGCACCCAGCGAGCATCTCAATCATGAAAACTTTGCGGCTGCTCCAGGCAGATACTGTAGGCTTTCTTGGATTGCCGGGGATGCCTTAACCATTTCGCGAGACGGTGGAAACAGTGGTGCGGAGCTGGAAGAATGTTCCACAAATACTCACCTTCAGGTGCTTCAAGCAGTATATCACCCTAATGGACTTGCTTTAGAGACAATTTTTAGGCTGCTTCTCTCCTTAAACACCAAGCGTAGTACTGAGGGTGTGGGAAGCAGCAGAGAATCCCATAACACCCACAACTTGCCTTAGCTTTTGTCTTGTAGACTTACGTGACTCTAATAATCTTTTAACGAATTTATCCCGCTGTTTTGAAGAAATGGTCAAACCGTCTGGTTAACGGCACTGGAAATCGTCCAGCTATAGGAAAGATTTCCCAAGCAAGCACAGGCATAAGATTCAACCGCAATCCAATAGCCTCGACTCTAACCATAAGAGGGTTTCATACGATGCTAAAGCGAACGCTACATGAAAATCTTACATATGGAGGTAGACATGCTTGGGACCATGATTGACTGGTTCAGTAGTGAACGCAGGAACGTCTACAGCTCGGCTTAACCGAACAGCGCATCTAAAACGAACGAAAATCTCGTTATGAAAACGCTGTGGTGGAAGAATCAAAGCCGAGAATAGACCAGGATCAGTCTAGAACCTACCCGTTATTGTCAATGATGTTGATACTTGCATCCGCTGTGTTAGTACCGTCGTGAGCGTAGCATGAATGTACATAAAAGTCGTAAATTGCTGAAAAAAAACATTGTAAGAAACAGTTTTCCAACAATTTGTGTGCAACGGCGGGTAATTACGTAATTGAAACGGTAAATTGTGGCTGTAGAATGGAAGTGTCTCTAAAAGGAAGCTCAAACCACGAACTCACCAGTATTTTTCAGAGCTAGATCGAGCGTTATCCGTTGTCCAACGCTGGCCCTCGCCAATGGTGTACCGGTAATCCCGTGACCGTCGAGGATCTGCATTGAAAGCAATGGAGCGCCTCCATTGCCAGTGATCACGCCTTCGTCGTGTTGAGGCCCACTGAAATGTGTTCTCTGGGAATAGGAATCAGCCAGGGAATCGGTAGGTATCATGATTTGGCTCGACGTAAGTATTTGTAGCACGGGAGGATTGAGCCCAGTACTTCGATGTTCACCATTATACTCCTACTCGCATACACTTTCTTGAGGAAATACCTTTACTTTGATAGTCTCCAAACGCGCTATTCACGCGAGAGTGAAAAGCAGCGTGATGAAAAATTGGTCAAGAGCTCATGAGCCTGGGTGACTCTCACATCGAGCGACTCCGAAATAGGGTGACTGTACCGCGAAATGTACTAGGTTGAACACCGGATTGTGGTTCCGATTAGGCCAGGGCAAATCATTTGTTGGGGATTTGTCGAGTCTGCACGACCCCTTCCCCTTTTTAGGGGGTTGGTACGCCCCCCCCCCCCCCTTAAGATAAATTTTTCCCAGCCCAAATACGACTCCCCCTTTCCTGCGGCCAAATACGCCCCCCAAATACCCTCCATTGGGGATTCCCCAACAACCATGTGCCCTGGATTAGGCTGCGTTCATACTTTGCGGCAGCACCAGCAACCAATAGCGTCCACCACCGATCACTAGCGTTCCGAGCGTCCTGCAGCGTCAGCGATTAGAAAAGTGTAGATATCAAGCTAGTGTGTGCCATCGTCTCGAGGGCTCGGAAAGCGTAGGTATCGTTCTAGCGTTTGCCAGGGTCTGCCCGCGCCAAGCATCGTCGACCAGCGAGCAGCAGCAGACTGCTGGTAGAGAGTATGGTGCGATAGGAGAATGTCTGCTATCCTCCTATCTCCCCATACTCTATCAGCTGTCTGCTACCCTTCTATCTCCCCATACTCTACCAGCTGTCTGCTACCCTTCTATCTCCCCATACTCCACCAGCTGCATGCTACCCTCTTGTCGCGCCGTATTCTCCACTCCTGGACTCTGGTGGATGCTGGCAGACATTGGCAACACGCTGCCGCAAAGTATGAACACAGATTTAAGGAAGAATCACGTTAGTTCCATCAAAGCAACAGAGTCATTCAGCGTCGAGAAATGGGGCTGCCCTAATTCTGACTAATTCGGAGATACTCGACTTTCGAAAAGCTGTTGAAATGTTTCATACTTGATTTGCAAGGCTGGAATTCCGTTTGGTCCTGGTGGAAGTGTGAGAGTAATGTCTTGAGTACTGTACACGCAGCGAACACTCATCGCTGAGAAACCTTCGACAAGAAGACCATCAACGGGACTTATGATCAGCTTCATACTGTACTCTCCAGACGTCTGTAACTAAGTTCCTATTGCAATGTAACAAGTGGAAAAGTGATGAGAATGAAGTGAAAAGAGTAACATAACTACTAACCATAAGTGCTAGGGAACACTGTAGCTATGCATCTTTGCAAAGCAAATTTTTCAACAAAATAAATTGAATTGGTGGCGTTTGTGAGGGTTCAGCGCTTTTAATATGCGCAGTCGTGGATGCTGATGCTAGCCCGCGTCAGGGAGGCTGGGTTTGGCGC